TGACAGTTAATCATGGTATACGTATATGGTAACGTTAGTACAGAAATGGGAGCTTTGACTAATGTAAATATATAGGTCGATACTTGAAAGAGTTCTTAATAACAATGTGGTAAATTTTTATAATATATAAAACCTTTTTTGTATATTTTAAACGTTTTTATTTTGTGGCACAAGAGCTTGGTGATAATCACTTTCTTTCACTAAGGCTATATATTGTTGCTCTATTGCTATTACAAATATTTCAAGATATTATATGTAATTCTTAGTGTTTTTATTTGTCCTGGTGTGTTATACGAAATATTTATTCCTAACAAGTACAGTAACACAGCTACTGGCTACAGTTAAAAAAATATCAATGATATCTTGGATTATAACAAATCGGACGAAGTTGCGATAGTGATACGAACTGTGTAAAATATATAGTACATAAACCTATCAAAGATATTGAACTTTAAGAATATTGACATGTTTGATTTTATATATTAGTAGTATTTATTTCAGCATGGATAACATTTTCTCTGAAAATACAATGAACAAATGGTTACTACTAGACATAACCATTCGATTACAAGTAATGTGGAATCTGATGTATTAAAGCAACCTCTTTAAAAACTACTAAAACCAATACAATACTTTCCTGCACGTCACCTGTCAATAATATCAACATGTAAGATATAAGTGACAGTTTCACTGACGTATATTATGACATATCGATCGTTATCAAAAGTAAAAAATATTTAAAGCGTACAAATCTTTATGTAAGATTTAATTAAATTTTAACTAAAGATTTAAATTAAGAAGATATCACTGATTAAGATACTAAAAATAATTTATGTATTTATTTGTAAGTGATTAGTAGATTTCTTTTTGGTACAATTAGTACAGTGCTTTATCGCACGTGGTGTACTGCCCAAGTTTTGATTTCGCCGAAACATAATTGTTTTGGGTTGGGTAGGCATGGAATGCTACTTTTTTATAGAACAAATAGGCAGGAGGCTCATCTGATGTAAGTGACACAGCCGCTCGTGGATACTCTCAATGAAGGCTCGCGAGTGCGTTGCCGGCCTTTTAATAATTGGAACGTCCTTTCTTAAAGGACCCTAAGTCGAATTGGTTAGGGTATAGAATCTGATCTACTTGTTTGAAACCGACGCAGTAGAATATTTTCTCTACTAGCAAATGCTATTAATTATGTCCGAAGTACAACATTTAAATTCTACATAACAAGATCATTCTATAGTATAAAACATTCAAATAAATTGTTGTAGCCGTTAAGAGAAAGTGTAGTGTTGAAATTGTATCTATGAGTGATCCGTGGGAATATTATGTATTTTTGTAAGTTTAAGATGTTGCGATATAAACTTGGCTCAGGTCCAACATTATCCTACACCATCAAGTATATCATAGGTGTAGAATAACCTATATTAAAGAAAAAACTTTTTATTATATTTATATTTTGGTCACACGGTGACCACGCACGCTGTAAAGCACGCGAAACCTCGGATAAATTTAAAATTATGTTAAATAATTGTAAATTTATAATAATAATACATAACTTTAATCCGGTGAAAAGTTTTTTCTTTAAATGTGTAAAGGTTATGTTAATCAAAGACAATACTATAACCTATATTATTTATTTAGGCGAGTGTTATAAGTACCAAAAAGTATTTTCACAATTTGACGAAGTCATACTTGAAGTTTACACTAGATTTCTATAATTTTTCTACGGCCCTTTAAAGATTTTTTTTAAATTCCGTTCCTAAGGAAAAACTGATAAACTGATGAGAAATAAAATTATAAACATATAAGCAAAGTCAACTGCGAGTTTCAGTTAAAAAATCTTCGTATTTGTTAGGGTAACGGATTTTTGTCAACCCACTTTATTTACTTACAAGATTGATAAAATTGATATGATAACACTTGTCAAAAACGAGATAATTCTGATGAACATTTTTAGGGCATCTGATTAGTACTCGATAAAAACTCTAAAGGAAATTAAAAAATACAACATCTGCCGCGCATCCCGTCAAAAACTAATTAACTCCAAACAAATAGCAACAAAAACAGCAATGTATGAGAAAGTTCAAAATTTAACCATTTCACATCCTCTCAGGATATGAGAGAGATATATCAGGTAGAACAGAAATGTTTCCATTGATATTCGTCACGTCAAAGTAACCCGTTCATTTATAATATGGCTGTATAGAATCAGATTTTGAAATCATTTCTGGCGCTAGAATTGAAAATCAAGTTTGGGAAGAAAAGCTTGATTAACGATGCTATGTCACCCGGAGCGCCCCCAATCGAACGACAATGCGAGTCATGCGATATAATAGCGATATTGTATTCGGTGCTAACCAAATTACTTTCTGATGTAATTAACGATTTCCCCACAAAGTCGTCACTTATATCACCGTATATCACAGTCACAATTATGGTTTATGTATAATCATATATTTTACTGCTATATGCGTCCTTATATCAGGCGAATAATTGTAAATCTAAACCTTTCTCGAATCCACTTGAACACACAAAAAAATTCATAAACCAATCTGTTTAGATATGATTATTTAAGATGTAATAATTACATTATACAAATAAATACAATGGACACAAAACGAACATTGAATACAGGATGTCGTAACGGTCCTAGAGAAATGGAAGGCGTAGCTTTACTATTTTAGTACAAGTTTAGGGTAAGGGCGATATATTTTCAGCCATATTTCCTACGAGACAGTGTCGGGACCGTTAAATCACACTTGTTGGGAATAACTATAAATTAAATGTTATGGTTTCGAAGCTCAGAAAGTATGTTTTATCACCGTGATTTAAAATGGCCACATGAATCATTCATAGTTAATGGTGATTCCTATATTTTATGTAATAAACAATAATGAAAAGTAATAAATAGGAAAATCTGAATAGCGATAAATTAAACGATTTTTTTTTCGTAATTACGTCACATCTAAATAAACTGGATTAAGTTGCCTTTTGTATTAGTATTTAAATTCATCGACTACTTCACTTCCTTATAAAACTCAGCTCAGCTGCTCATTGTGGTATCCTTAAGGGGAAATTTTGTATCTGTCAGATATAAATCCCCGCAGCTGTCAGGCAGGTGGCGGGAACGTGCCTTAGTTTGTGATTGGGATATTTTTTAGCCTTATAAATAATCATGGGGTGTACTACGAGTGATGACCGTATTAATACAACTTTCATTTTAAACAAAACGATTATTTTTACTCACGCTTGTTTGTTCATTACATAGTAGTAATACATCAACTTGTTTAAGAACGCGTCTAAAACTAATTGTTTTAATGTTTTTTTGTTGTAGCTGTTGTAGTCTCTAGCAGAATGACCAGCGCTGTGGAACAGTCGCCTACTCAGCATAATGCAGAGCCAAGGCCAATTACAACCACAGCACACACGCATTACACACTTCAAACGTACTTTGTTCTTTAAAAGAAAAAAATTATTATCTCTATTTTTTTTTTATTATTGTGAGTGTGTTTTGTTAGTAAAAATGCTATGTCGTTTTCGTTTAGTTTTTTTGTATTAAGTGTATTTCTTTTTAACTCTTTAGTATATAAGGAATTGAAATTTCTATTGTGGTGTAACTGTTCAACAAGTAATTTGTGGAAGTGGTTTATATATTAAGCAATATAAATAATTAAAAAAAGCTGTTTGTAGCTCATTTTACTAAAAGCTCTAAACTTTTCATGTGTACAGTTGATTTAGAATGCGATTGACAATGAATACAATTGTAAAGAGATGGCTATCGCAAAGAGGCCATCATTGATGTAAAATATCTCACAGCTGTCAATGCCGTATCAGAACAGGCGCAGGTTGCCATAAAAGGTATCTGCAGGTTCTAGCGATAAAATCTGTAGAAAAACCCTTTCATGCCGGACTTGACCCCAAAGAATGAATACTACAATCTCTAAAAATTCTTTACCATTGGAACTCTTGAATGTAGTAAGATTTTAAAGAATTATGGTCATACAGCGTTCAAGTATTACGTCATTGCAATTTTTGGAGATTATTGACACCCCCCCAAGTAACGCGCCGTAACGTTTTTCTGTACCCAAGTATAGTAAAACGTTTCGTCACCACCTAACTCTGTTCAGTGACTCTTTATACCTAAAAGTTACCATTATGTGGTGTAAAGTACTGGAAAGTCGAAAATACTATTAAAAATAACGCGTAATTAAATCCCGGCCCCGCATCGTAACGTTTTACAAAAGGACCCCCCCCCTCCCCCAAAATTCGTTACGTAATACTTGAACGCTCCCTTGTACAAAATTTTCATGCATAGCATTACTGTCATAAACTTTAAATATTCAAGAAACCATATAAAGAAATGTTAAATTCTGCCGCAAGCTGAGGAGATCGCAAGATAAAAGCTCGTCTTTTGTGATGCAGTATGCGCTTGCACATCTGCCGGCCCACGTGCCGCCCTCGACCGCAGGTTTAACTTATAAATCTTTTTTATTTTCCTGACGAACGCATTCATCATCTTTACCATATGTCTGAACAGATAGGCTGAACATTCTTTAATTAGCTTTAATTTCATACCTGGCAGGTTCAGTTTTTATTTATTTGAACAAACATTTGGTTAGCATCCGCTCTATTTTTATTGCGGTCGAGTAGATCTTGACCGGCCAGAGACCTAAGAGATGTCAGAAAGAATTGCCCTGAATTTGATCCGCAACATGTGCCGCTTTTTTGTGTGCGACATCTGATGTCTGCTCGAGACATATTGCGCGAAATATTTGCCTAGCAGGCAAGCGAGTAAGGATTCCACGTTTTCCGGCGTCAAGATGTCGCTCGCCAAAATTTTTTTGTTAATAATATTAGTATCTACTTGTCTAAAATACTCTGCATTAAGCAATTTTTGTTAGTCATTGAAATTGGTTATTTTGAGTAGTTTCTACAGTTCGAACCGCGAGCATGCTTTATTGTGTAACCTCTATGGCGGTGATTAAATCTCACCATTATTATTAACTGGCTCCATTCAAACACCCACTGTCGTTCTCTAGGCGGTTCGGAACTATGCCGTCCACCCACTGCGGCTTGTCCCGTAGGCGCAACAGGGTCACACACAGCCTTAACTCTTCTAAACCTAACGTGTTCAATTGTTCACGCTTACTCAAATTTACATTTCGAGAGTCAATGTCACCCAAGACGCAAGGTCCCTATTGTTTTGACCATTTCGGTGGTCTGGGTGAAACAATACGAAACTAATTTAAATATTTAAAGAAGCCCTTGTTTATATTCTTATATTTTATGTACACAGGGATAGATTTATCATAAGTCTTTCGTGCAACGTGCAAGCCAAAATCATCAGATATACTACTAAAACGACTTAAATTTTGAATACATGCAAAAATCTTTACCATGTATTTTCATATTATTATTAAAGAGAACCATCAGAGCTTGTATCCGGATGTATGATCACTAACAATCCACATGAGTTACAATGTCACAACACTGCAAACACGATCCTTAATTATATTTACACTGAGTTTTTTCACAAGTTCGCATAAAACCGGACTAACGATAAACGCACATGCAATCTATTTGCCCGACGACAACACACTGAGCCGGCGGCGGCGTCTGGCGGCTAGTCGAGAGCCCAGGCGCGGCGCGTCGCACGGAGACGCGGTAGCGACCCTTCCCCTCCCAACCGCTTGGTACCTGACAGATCGGGCCGCGACTGCTCTATACAATTGTCGTGACTCGACGATAGATTTTAGACGCATTTTGTAGAATTTTCTTTTAGTTGAACGCAAATCAAGATTCGGGTTGCAAACAATTTGAATATATATTCGATAATAAATCTCTAGCATAGAACGATTTATAAATCTACACAAAGGAGTAAAATGATGTTAAGATGGACGTGAAACGTCGTATACAATAAAAATGTTTACATTTATTTTCGAGATGATTAATTAAAGAAAAGTAAATTTTGGGTAAAGTTCATAATAAATCACGTTTCGAGTGCCTTACAAATGTAATCAATCAATCACGACAAGGGTGTTATTAAGTTTGTTAATTTTATAATTAACGTGTTTATGGTTTCTCTAAACATACTATGTTTTTCATTAGGATAGGTCATAAATTATTAAAAATTTAATGTATTCTTGGCTAAATTCAACCTTAAAATCTTAACACGATTAAATAACTCTCTTATTGATTAAAAAAACAAAACCCATCATGATTAATTGTCAAACCAGCCGAAGTTCCGTCCATTTCGATTTGGTCATATTTTTTGTTGTTTCTTAGAAGGTCGGGTCCAAAGAAGCAAGGTCACCTTAAAAGATGGGATTTAGATAAATTCTATTGATAAAAATCCGGTCAAATTCTTCAATGAATCCTTATTAATATTTTGACACCCGAGGGAACATTCCTCTAAATTAGTAAAGTATAAGAAAATATTCCTTTAAGCAAATACGTTCCTATAATGTTGGCAAAGAGTATAGACGAATGACGTCAATAAAACACAATTCAATACAGTTGACTACTTGAAAACTATATTATCATTAGTACTGACATTTTTATCAGCTGGGTTCTTTACCTAAGTATATGGTATCGCTACATGAGCTAATAAAATGGGTGATAAAAATACAAAGTCGGTAAATAAAACTGCTAAATATCCCTAAAGCCCGGTTCGAAATAATTAAACTGCGTCCGTAAAATTAGTTAATAAAACAGCCAATTGAGTCCAATGCACTCATTAACTCGAAGCGTGAAGAATCTTTGGTATTGTTGCAAATCGATTTCATTTATAGAAAAAAATTGCTGCTGAAATAAACTTTTGACATAAGTATATATATATTTTATCGTCATCTAAACAAAACTTATTTAACAGAAATAAACGCGAATTATATACGAGTTATTTGCACCAATAGATTCCCGCAAGCTGCTTATGTTTGTTTTAGAAATCCCGTAATCCATGTAAAAGATCATGCAGCATATTTCTGCTGTTTCTAGGCATATAGGTTATCAGCCTTCTGTTCCCAAGACTTGGGAACGCGGACGCGGACTTTTGTCATATCGGTTTCCTAACAATATTTTCTATCACCCAACGAGCCAGCGAAATATATTCTACTTTTATATATATGTACTTCTATACTAATATTATAAAGAGGAAAGATTTGTAACGAATTGGCTCAAAAAAATACTGGACCGATTTTTAAAATTCTTTCACCATTTGAATGCTACATTATCACTGATTAATATTGGCTATTTTAATTGCAAGAAAAAAATAAGAATCCCTACTAAAATGACAATAATGTTCACCCAAGGTGTAAAAAAATGCCTATAAAATATCTTTCATCGCATGTGCTGCGAAAACGATTGATGATAGAACAAAAAAATGTTCCACAATATTAAAGAACAAATCAATATCTACAAAAAATGTTCAAAAAATAAATGTCCACCCGTGCGTGGACGGCCCGATAGTTAAATAATAAACATATCCATTGGTTCAAAAGCACCTCAAATGACTTAATTAGACTAATACTAATTTTATATAATACTACCTATACTATATATGAAAGAATTTTTCACCTAACGCCACCATTACTTTGATAATGTACCTCGCATTCTATCTCTTCACGGTTGAGCGGTTTTGCGCCTACACACATGTCGGCCTACACACTCGGTTAGCACTTCCTTACATCTGTCATTTGCGTCATATTGTATTCGCGTATGGCTTTCGTGAGGCTTTTCATATGAAGGCCATTTAACTGTAAATGTATTACTTTAAACAGACTATAGAATAATAGTAATGCAGATTTTATATATGTTTAATCTGTTCCGTAATTCAATGGATTATTGAAAAGTAATTGCAACACTAATATATAATATATAAAAGTTTACATTGTAAATTGCAATTGTATCTTTTTCTTACTAGGATTTCCTGGAAGAGATCGCTTATTAGCGCTATTTTGCATTGCATCTCTAACAATTTATGTAATACCGTACATATGTATGTATAGTATGTTAATAAATAAATAAATGATTCGAATTTTCAACATTGATTATAACCTCGTGTGATAAAGTGATAAACCAGAAAAACTATGCAATGAATAAAACCCGTTATAATTTCTTTGTTTTATGCTTATTTAAATAAAACTTATTCAACATTTCATAACTCGAGGTTTCGAATGCTTTTCAGCAACCGTTCTCGTTTATATCTCTACAATACGATACTATAAAAATACTTCCATGAGTTAAGTTAATTTTCCCACTATAGATCGCCATACGTTATGACACGTCTCATTACGGGGCCAATATGTTGTTAGCACTTGTTTATCTTCAAGATACCAGCACTTTACCTAAAGGACCGATTCGAGCTGATACGCTGCTAATGGCACCTTAAAATATCGCGTCATGTTTAAAAGTCTTTGTTTTGTCTCGTGTCGCTGTTGCTTATCGAGATCTTTACTTTAATACGTACTTGCATTGCAAAATGTCAAATTGAGTGTCTTATTTAAATATTAAATCTATACAGTATCACATTTTATGTGACATTATTTGAATATTTTATTTTTTTGATACGTAGCTTAGTAATAAGTTACATCTGTATAAGTGACTAAAGGTACACTGTCACAGGGGCCAAACTTTTTCAACTTTTAGTGTTCTATTTATTTATTTAATATCATACTATTCTCAAGAATATTGTAAATACTCTACAATTGATATTAGAGACTATAATATGTACTTTATTTATTAACGTAAAACTAGCGAAATAACTTAAAAGTTTATCTCACTAGAAATATTTAGAAAATAATAGGCCTTTTTTTAATTCACGCAAATAAAGATTTAGGGTAAGGTAGTAATAAAGGTTTTAGATGTGCGTATCATATAGATAGATATATGTAGTAGTAATAGTGACAAGTAACTTAATAACTTGTAGACGATTATGTTTAAGAGATTGGAGTAAAAAAAATTATAATACAAACACATGTAAATTATAAAAATTTTGTCACGTGTCTCCCACACAACTTTAAAATTGGTAAATTAAAGTATTCGTAAAAATGCCCTCAATATACTCGCTTAAATAAAATACAATATTAAATAATTAAAATCAATTATCGCACTCGATATATCACATTAATACACAATAACCGTTATAAACAAATGAAGTTTACGAGGTGACAGATAAATAAATCATTTGTATTATCTGCATTCTCGAAGTGCAAATGCAATAAATTGCACGTGGAATACAAAACAATCGATAACTTCGTCGCCACAGTGTCTGCGAGCCTTTTTGTTTTCGATATAAGTCATAATACAACCTTATCTGTGATATGATAACGATAAAAGTTTGATCGATCGCGTTCCAATTTTGAAGCATCGAAGTATTTATGGTTTAACGCATTTGACTCTGTGGCTAAATAACAGAACATATATTAGAGATAATATACAAAGCTGTATTATCAGTTTAATATGTATATTGTATACAAATATGTCTGCCACTGTCCCGCTATGGTGTGAATTGGTTCTGAATATTTTCCTTTATGTAATTAGCATGACATAGACAGAGAGCCGGAAAGACTTGGAGCGAGGTAAAAAACGAGGCTCAAGACTGAACACGATGGAGAGTCACAGTGGACGTCCCCTGCCTCATATAGGACATTAAGTCAAGTAAGTGAGTCAGTAACTAGAAAGAAAAAGGCATAATATATGTACTATTAAATTCCTGTCTTTGCATCGAACTAGATAGTAAAGAAAGGCGTGTTAAAAAACAAATGAAAAGCTTACTTAAATATATAATGCAGGAAGCAAGTGAAACTAGCGATGGACTGAATAGAAGTTTGTACAGTATCATTCCTAAGGTACATAGACAACATTTGGTGGTGATTAATATTTCCCTTTCTACGTGAATCGGGCAACAGCTAAGTCGGCTGTGGTCTTAAGGCAGATTATAATCAAACTATTTTCGTACTAAGTTCAAAGGACGCAGCTGCATTGTAAAGTTAGGATATCGGTACGCAAACTCCACTAAAACAATCTACTTGCCAACGCCGATATTACCCAATATTATTATTTAATTAAATAGTAATTAACAAGACCAATAATATTTCTATAACAAAGAAGGTCTTATCATTAGGATCTTTTGTAAGTTCTTGCTTTATTTAATTCGGACTACTGGTCTTAATTTAGCCCTAATAATTCTCTATGCTACCGTTAGCGGTTTTTTGGAATTGACTATTGTCGCTATGTTCGCTCCCACCCTTTGGCGATACAACTCAGATATAATCACGATACCTTTGAAACATTTCGACCTACGATCAAAAGCATACAAAGAGATTTTAAACTAAGATTTCTGTATCTGTTTCGTGATTTGTTTTTATATAAAAGGCAAGTAGGTGATCAGCCTTTTGTACCTGACACACACCGTTGACTTTTCCATAGATATAGATACATAGCCGGGGATTAAACCTACGACCTCATAAGTCGGATAAGAGTTACACGCTGAAGCCACTAGGCAAATATAGTGAAAAGATTTTATTTAAAAAAATCATTCGTCAGTGGTGTAATATTTCAGTAATAAAAAAATTGGTATTGGATAATTACTATTAATTCCGTTTTCTGTATAATGTCTGTTCTATTATAAATGTTCTAACATTAAATCTACATACACGCAGTCCTATGAAGCATAAAAAGTATTTCTTTAAAACAATATCGATCGGTGTTAGTTAAAGTATGAAAACGCAGTGCTCTCTGCAAAATGGCTGGACACTTCCAACAA